CTCTTGATTTCCAGATTTTTTGTTTCTCAGCTTGTATATGAGTCACATCTTCACACTTTCCTTGACAGATTGCCTTTTTTTCATTCTTCTTCCTTGTAGCTTACAGATGATTTGGACTTTGGTGTATTTCTGCAGGCAACCTCGGGATATATCTTTATGTGCCACAAATATGTCTCCTCAAACAAGTGTCACATGAAAAATTCTTGTAAGTGAAAGTAGATTTTCAAGTTTTAAGTTTTATAGAGTTTTGCAGTAAATGCAGGCGAAGATAAAGCTGAAAAAGAAAACAACCCAGCCAACTCTTTCCATCCAAAGAGGATGTGAACACGCAAAGCTGTAGTCCTTGAATGTAACAGCTACATTTTTTTTCTAATACAATTTCCAGAGAAAAATATTGTTTCATTAGGTCATATTAGCTCATTAACTGGCATTTGTACTCTTGTTTTAGTCCTGTACTTCTGTAGGGCCAGGGGCTCCAACAGAATGATAAATATCTTAGTATTTAAAAGATGGATGTAGACCCTGTGACATCACCCTTTAGTAATGATTTCTTTTTTCACCCTTTTCGATGTTGCTACCTTTGTTTTTTTGAAAATGTAGCACACAAGGTGTAGATCTCACAGCTCCTACTCAATTTTTACTGTCATCCTACCCTGATTTCTTGTTTTCTAATGACATCTATAATTGAATAATGTGTTGTAGATGTATATGCTTTGAAACTGACTGACGGTGAATAAGATCCACCTGCGAAGTTTAAAGGGATCAAAGATTGAGGGAGAAGTAGGCTAGTTTTCTTATAGACTGTGGAAACTGCCTTATTTTTCAACTAATCTTGTTACCCCCTGGTGGCCATTAGAAAGAATACACGTTTAAAGCCAGCTTTACTAACTGTGATTAGATTTCTCTGCTTGCTTGCATATCACATCAATAAATTTGTAGTTTTAAATGGGAACCTTCCGTATTTAGTCTCAAATTTATAAGGCTCATACCTATGTACTCTTTGTTAGATATATGTTAAATTCAATAATAGAATCAGACTCAGTATTGGCAGACAAACAATATTAAGCACTTATCTGATCTGATACCCCTTAGGGATGTTTAGGATTAGGTATCTAAAACATGGAGGCTCAAAACCCGTTCATTTCCCTTTTTCCATTTCTTCATTCGCTGACCGTTTCACCTCACTCACCTGATAATTTCCAGGGTCTTTAATCTTTTATTCTCATCTCTGTTTCTTCCTTTTTTTATTCACACCCCTATTACCCATTGCTTTTGGTTGTCTTTACCCCGTTACTGTTCCTCTTTCCTCCATTCTGTACTCTTCTTCCCTCATCGTCAGCCAGTGGCCACATGACTGCTACTTGATGTGTTGCCATGACAGCCTGCCAAAGTGTTGTTGCCTGGGTCATTTTTCTACATCTTTACTGAGCATGCTTACTAGAGTGGGGTCAAGATCCCCGTCCTGAAGTAACTCCGTCGTTCAAGTATGCATTTTGCCTGTCTTTGTGTGCGTGTGTGTGCTTGTGTGTCTGTGTGTGTGTGTGTGTGTGTTAGGGACCTCGGAGACTACATTTGCAGTGTGTGAATACATGGATTAGGATGAGCTATCAGTATCCATAATGGAAAGTTCATGTCTAATTAACCTTTATAATGTCAGGCAGGGTTATCATTCCACATGGATTAGAGTAAATACACACTAGCTTCCAGAGTTTGTTGGATATACAGTATTAGCGTTTGATCTCCAAAGACGACCAGATGAAAGCGTAATGTAATATTCAAATCCAGTGTAATTTCAGTTGATCCTTAAGGAGGTTTTTTTGGCGGTTTAGTCATCACACAGGCGACGAGCAACTTCTACAAGCGTTAGAGAGCGTGCAAAATTTATCGAGTCCTGTAACCAGGCTAAAAAAAAGAAAGCATGCTAACTTCTAATTTTGATGTGAGGGGACCCAGAAACACTCTCTGAAAATGAGAAGAAGTAATAAAACTTCATCATCATCTCCTATTAGTGGAGGAGCTATGGCTGTAATGGGTGACGTTAGTGCTTGTACGGCCATCTACCCAAAAGTGCGCCAGCCCAGCGGGAAAATGCACGGTATGTTAGATTACCAGTCCAGCCCTGATAATAAGACAACTTTAAAGGAAGTGGGGAAAAACATAAACCTGCATTATTATGGGCAAAAGGGTCAACTCCACTGGTTGCAAGAAGAAGTTTCACTTGATTTATCACCCCAGTAAATATTTCCCTGATGACTTTATCATCTCAGTTGGTAATCTTAGGTCTTTTTAAGATTTTTTTTCCTCAATAACCAAAAATTACATTTCAGCTTCCTAAAACTGCTTAGATTACATTTAGATTTGAGTTGAATATGCCAATAAAAAGATCTAAAAAAAAATCCTTGGTGTGTTCTGTGGTGTTTTATAAGTAACTGAAATGATTAATCAGTCATTCAGTGTGACCTTTTGAGCTAATTTTCAGCTCCAGATATTTCATTTTGGATTTTGTGTGACTAATAGTTAAAAATAAACTACATTGATCTCATACTGGGCCTTAGTGCAACCAATCAGATCATCCACTGTCTGACACAGGCTGCTTTATATCCTCTCACTTTATGCCTACTTTCTTCTGATTGGCACTAGTAAACACAACAATTAAACAGCAGGTGTGTGTGACTTTTGCACTCACAGAGCTTTGTGGCTGAGATGACCATATTAGGCATATCCCCTCTGTTCCACATCCTATAGATAACACGTCTAAAACTAAGTCTTTTATATAAATACATACATAATATGAAATAACTCAAATCATAGTTTCGCATTTTCTTTAATGAGATCTATCTGTTGCTGTGGAGGGATGTGAAATGTGAAGGAGTGTGATGAGGTTTCATATGGCCCTGGCGCGGCGAATGAATACTCTGCTCGCAGTGCTATTTGTGGCTCGTGTATCTGGTTGCCTAGGAAACAGCTGGCAGAGCGCCAGCAGGAGACTGAAGTTGACCCCAGACAGACAGACAGAAAGTCCCAGATAAAAAAGAAAAACTATAACTGAATACACAGATGTATACATTCAGTCATATATCATAGTTAGTTTCACAGTGAAGGTGAACTCTGATTGACTTGTATCTCTCTGTCTCTTCTAGGTAAGTGGCTGTAATCGTGCCTGTGGACTCAGCCCCTCATTTGAACCCTTCATACTTGTCCTGCGAGCTCTATCCTTCTTTCTTTTGGCTTGAGAAGTTAGGAGGTAAAAAGCAGATTTGACGTATAGTTTGACACATGCTGACCATTAACGCCAGGGATTAGATGGCACTTTTGTGGAAATCACCACAGGGTTTAGTCACTTTAATTCAAACTAAAGCGTTGTTATGATAGGGCTGACCTTTCCATTGTGTAGTGAGAACGCTCTGCTCTCATTAACAGAAGACTTGGTGGATGTGTTGCACAGGTGAAATGCACGACTTAGGGCTGTATTGAAATTATATCGAGTTAAACTCCTCCGTCCTTTTATTACATTTCTCTCAGGCTCATTTGTAGAGCTGTGGTTAGCCTCATCAGTCTCCATAGTGATAGCACACTAATCTTCTCAAGCCCCTTGTCGTTTTTCTATCCTCAGTAGTGCCTGCTTGATTGGTCCTGATGATTTCGAAACAACTTTCTGGATCTCAGTGTGAGAGGGAGTTTGCTGATGTTGGCAGGTTGTAATCAGGTCATTGAAATAGCTCACTGCTTAGACTGATACTCATAGGATGTTTTGACCAATGGGGGCAGCAAAATCAAACTGTGACCCATTTTTTCCTACCCATGGCTCTGCATGATGCCCTAACATGGTCATCTAAAACACACAGAAGTCCGTCCACCCAGCTTCTTTTTGCCATGTTTTCTTACGGTCACCTCTTCAACCTCACGGGGGGGCTGGATCCTATCTCAATTGTTTTAAGCCAAGAAGCAAGTGCACCGTCAGCACGTCACCAGTCTGTCTGGGTAGCATATAAAGACAGAAACCAATTTAAATTCACATTCACACCTACAGCAATTAACCTAACCCCATGCATGTCTTTGGGTTGTGGAAGCAAGCCGAGATAACCCACCCACATGTGGATAGAAAATCCAAACTCCACAAAGAAATCAAATCCAGGACCTTCTTGCTGTGAGCCAACAGTGCTAACTGTGCTGCGCTTGTTTATTTACAATTTTTATTTGGATTTACTCAATTAGACCCGTTTTGAAGTTGGTGGCTCTGGGAGCATTTTTATCGCAGTTGCATGCCACTTACCATGTCTTGGCATAGCAAACTCTTAAGAAGTCTGTAATATTTTATTTGTTCTGATTGCACCGATTAGTAGGTGTCTGTGTGATGCAACCGGTCTACAGTCTATGGATGCACTTTTCTAATCAAACTTTATTGCATTGGCTGAAGTTGTCATCTGTTGTTCAAATAAGGCCACTTCTGGCTCCTTAACGCCAACATAGTGGCTTCCAAAATGTTAAAATTGAGGCTTTGAAATGAGACTCAACAAACCAGTGGGTGGTGGTTATGTCCATCTATTCTATTCAGTCTATGGTTGATGCAACATTTACGGAGCAATATTCTTCACCGATTCTCAGTCTAGTTCCATTCTTGAAGCTCTCTTCCATGTCCTGGCTCTTTAACTTGTAAATGTTTAATATGTTTTTAGTTGCCTTCTGGTTTGAGTTAAAAAACAAAACAGCAGTCAGAGATTCAGGTGACAGCTCCTAGTGGGGTCATTTATGTTTTCATTCAGTATCTGTTATATGCAAATACTATATTTAACTTTGAAGAAATTTATGGTTAAGTACAAATAAAGTGCATAGTACAGTATGTAATACTATTAATAAACAATTAAAAAAACAATGACTTGTTATAGTGCTGCAAACATTTATAAGAAACTCAAGGCTTTTATTAAAGTCTTTAAGTTTTAGTTTTTTTATAACTAGTTATAGATTTTCAAGAATATTAATATAGCAATAAATTGTATTATAAGGCTCTTTCTTATGATAACAAACAATTTGTAAATACATACCTTTTAATTAAGTTCTATCTAAAGCTTTACCAAAACTGATGCAATGCAGTTTCTGGCCTCACCACATGTAAAACAAGTCAACTGGTCAGTTGGTTGCACCGTCTCCTCAAACATGAGGGCTCACATAACAAACAAAGCATCTGCGCCAAAGGTCATTCGAGAAGCAGGAGATCTGGGTTCAAATGTGAATTTTTGGTCTGCTTTGACATTTAAAAAGAGGTTTTGCTACAGTGGTAATGGAGGTCCGAGAAAAGGTGGATGTATGATGGCTACTATTACATGCATCTTCCTTTATGAACTCAACTGTGCTGCTAATGGATGTTTTTTTTTATGGGCTGTCTGGACCAGCCACACCCAAAACCCCCTTGCCTCCAAATGTGATCTAATCTGCCTGACTGCTGCTGCAGACTCCAAGCATCATCCAACAGCTACTTTAACATTGCAGAGCGTATTATGTTGTTATATGTATCCTTATCTAGTTTAGGTCCATTTGCAATGTACTGTGTCGGATATCTGCGTTGTCAGTGTGGAGAGGGTGGAAGGAATAAAGCATGTGTGTGTGCGTGAGGAAGAGAGAGATTTGCAGAGAGTATCAGACAGAGTGAAGAAACAGCCGGGGGAGACAGAGGCCATGTGATGTCAAAACAATAAGTGTACTTCTTAGACATGACAGTTGAGAGTCACTGCAAGAGCTATGATGTGTCATTTATTTGTGTATTTAGTAGAGACCAACAACTGCTTGGATTTGCAATATTAACAGCCGTATTTGCAGATTTTTATACCAGAAATTTATCGGTCTTTAAATGTAATATAGTAATATTTATTATTGCATGATAAAAGTAGATCAGAGTATAATAATTACTGCACGATAAACCAGAATTTTGGCCGCGAATTTACTCACACAGACTTAAATATTCCCAGCAGTTTACAGATTATGAAGGCAGCACTTGCTGTTTAAGGTCACCTAAAGACTGCCAGGGAAAAATCTCCACAGGATTTCTGACTCCAGCTTCACTATCTCCAACTTTGACTGATGTTTGATGTTATTCTTGTGTTTGTACTGCAACTGTGTCATTGAAAGATGTTTCATGCCTAAGTCACAGAGCCTTAGAAACCATTCAGTAACATCCTGGCAACCACAGGTTGCTAGATAAAAATGTATATTCTCCAACTGGTCTGAGAGTGACTGCTGGGGGTTGCTGGCTGTCGCAAAGAGAGTGCTTTACCAAAACCCTCTTATTGTAGCTTTGGTCAATAGCAGATTGTTGTAGTTTGCACGAAAAATGCCCTCTTGTCTGCAAACACTGGCCAACTTCTTGCTAAGCAGTAGTCAAACCTGGAAAAAGCCTAAACTTTTGGTTCTTGTTTATGCTTTGTATGTATGGTTTACAGCAAACAACAATTCTGAATGACTTTCCATTAGGACCACATCCCCTCCACAAAAGTTACAGAAAGAAAGTTCCTACAGAAGGTTCTTGTATTTTATTTAAAATAAAGAATTGGATAGCTTACAGTATGAAGACTTTGTCTAAAATAAGTGTGGCCGAGCAGTTATCTGAGATGTCACGTGCATCTAAATGATGTTATTTTTTATAAAACCCTGACTTCACGCCTAAATCCACTCAGATGTCGATGATGTGCCAAGTAAGATGGTCTCTTACCTTTGACCTCTGCATTTTGTTTTTTAAATTCATTAAATGCCATGCAATATTTAAGTCAGGATTCAGCAGCAGCAGCTCAAGGCCTTATAGTCTTCTCTGATTGGTCAAGGTTTCCATTTATACCTTTTTTCATGTCCCTTGGTGTGTGAATTTTCAGTGTTTTCTGCATCTTTGACAAACTCAGATGCAGGCAGATACTGGTTGGACCAGTGCAGGAGTGCCACTTATTAACAATAGGACATCCGGCTCTCCTGTTGTTAGCGATGAGGCTTGTCAGTCAGCAGATATCCTGGCTTTTAACACAAGTGGAGTTCAGTATTGTTTACAAGATATAAATCACTATAATTCTAAGACTGGAGTACCTGAACTAATTAAAAAAAAAAGAAAAGAAAAAACTGTGAAGAAAATATGCTACTGCGGTGGGACATTCTTGTTTTATTGAGGCTCAAATTGGTATATTTGCACTGGTAACATACATTTTTCACATTGGCAGCTCATATTTGTGGCTGTGGTGTTGTGGTTTGGGGAATTCGGTAATCTGCTTATGGTGTTGTTTGTGTTATATGCTTGCTTTCTTCTGCAAACTAGGATTAAGAGTTAAGAAGTGCATGAATCAGCGATATTAAACTTGAAATATCATTGTTACTGGAGTTGTAATGATTCCCGTTTCTGGCAAGTGGAATTTGGAGTCACAGTGAGGTTGCATATCGAGTTAAAGATTTACTGCATCAAGTTTGATGTCCTTTCTTCAAACAGGATATTGTATCAGGACATAACTCAGGGCAAATGAGTGCTGTATTATAGAGACACTTAAATTTAATGAACAAGGTGGAGAGTTGTGCTCCAAATGGATTAAGGATACCACTCGGGATTATTTAGCGAGTCCCTGAAACTCCATGAGGTATATGTACACTAATGGAACATCAAATTATCTGATGCTTTTGTCTTGCTTTTGTAATCCTCACCCACCTGGTGCTCTGGTGGAGGCTGAAACAAACTCTGAATGACTTTAATCTATGTTCAGTGCCTAAACACTTTCCTCAGTTTCCTCTGGTTTGTGAGCAGGTGAAAAAGAGCATGTTTTCTGTTCTGACGTCCTTGCGTATGTTAAGCTCTATGAAGGAATGTTGCATTAAAAAACACCAAAACAGGAAAAACAAGCGAATCAGCTCGATAAAACCGGACATATTCATGCGGATGATAATTTGAGTGCTGTGAAGAGTCATTATCGACAGGTCCTAGCTCTTTATTTTATTTAAAACTAACTGATAATTAAACTAAATTTGACTTTTCAAGTCATTTTCACATTTTACATATACAGGGACTGAATTAGGTTGTTCGTGAATGCCACTCAAACTTCTAAATATTGTATTTTGAACAAGCCCACAGGAAGATATTTTTATCTGTGCTATGCTGCCCCCAAGTGATCAGAAGTGCAACTGATAGTATACAAAACCTTTATATTGCCAAATCTTTCACCAGCACATATAGACACCTACACAAAAGCCCAGCTCTCATGTTTGGATTACAGTCATATATGTGCACATTCCCTCGTGGTGACAGGAAACAGTCTCTGTGAATTTAATGTCTGCAAATTTGCTTCCACCGCGTAACTAAAGCTGTGCAGGGACCTGGCTGTATGAAATTGATTTGCCAATAGAGGGAGCCAAACACCACAGTTATTATCTGTGGGCGTCATTGTTAACAACACTAAACAGCTTGTAATCCATTCATTTTGCTTTCTCGTTCATTTTGTGCACCAGGATGGATGTGTCCTGTTTTTTATGAAAGCAGATATGAAATTATTGCAGGTAAACTTTTTCTTTTGTGCACAAACGTACATGAATACAAAGGCACTCTCTGACTGCTGTTTTGTTGGCTTTTACTGCCGATCCCTGAACAATTAGACCCAAACATATAAAATACTGTCTAGAATGTTTGTGCAGATGAAACATGAGTGTTTGTTTTCTCCTTGATAGTTTGATGAGCTCTTCCTTTCTTTGCAAATGCTTCTTTGCAAGTGATCAACCCAGGGAACAAAGTAGCATGTGCCCATGTAAGTTGTAGAATTTTAAGGATTCTTATTCTGTTTTTTTTGTTTGTTTGTTTTTTGTTTTTTTCCATTTTTCTGATGCATTATTAGATGATGAAATGGGTTATAATTCATACATAGTCATATGGATAATAGTTGTTGTTTGTGGACAATTTTATCTTGGGGAATTCTCTGGTTTCCCCTCAGGTCCATACTGTGATCATCTGCTATATTGGTTCCTACCCTGTAATGCACACTCCTCCAAGACTTCATTAACTGCAGTTTCATGTGTATGTGCGCTGAGTAGTTTGCTGCAGGCGATGGTTAGATCAGCAGCATAGGGACAGAAAGATTGATAAAAGAAAAACATCAGAGATAGACTGAAAGGAAAGGAGGAGATGATGAAAGAGTAAAAAGGGGGGAAAATGCAGTTGGCTGGCATGTTTGCTGCTGACCCACATTTGGAATCATGACATTTTTCCTGAGTGTGCTATTTCCTCTGTGAGTAGGCTGAAAGAAAGTCTGAAAGAAGGGTAATTTCACTGCAAAGACACTGCCAGAGACTGCAAGCAACTTACAAACACCCTTGTCTTTTTTAAAGAGTAGTTTTAAACATCTGATCCGTGTACAGAGAAATCACCTGCTGTTAATCCCAGTTTCACAACAGACAAAGGGACTGTAAGGTCCAGTAATTCTAATTCATAAGCTCCTTTTACAGATGGAGATAATGAAGGATTAGTTCAATAAATCCTGATGTCACTGACTGACTGATGACTTATTATGGTGCAGTAACTAGAGTTTAGGATGTGATTAGCTTGAGTGGAATTTTTGAATGTGGAACATTTTCCTTCTGATTTTAAGGTTGTTTAAATATGTATCATGATAGTTGAGGGGACTGAAAAAGACGCTCAGTACAGTAAATGAATGGATCGACTGGGAGTCAGCATTGTTGATGCATTCCCAAATTGCATATGCGTTCAGTCCTATGCTATAACCTTTGACCTGTTGTATTGGAACAGCTTTAGTAAGCAGCCCTGCACGAGACAATTGCCAAACTGGCTGAGTCCAATTCCCTCTAGTTATTGCACAATTGTAATTTAATGTTTCACAGCTAGTATTTGTACAGTATAACCTTTTGTGACATTCATTATCTATCTATCATTATCTTTTAAAATATTGCCATTTAGTAGCAGTGCAAATAATAAAATACTCACTTGTAACATGTCTGTGAAATATTCAAATTCAGATTAAAATGCAACTAGATTTACAGGAAACCGCTGATCAGTATTCACACAGTGTTATCGTCCCAGGCTAAGGAAAAGAAAAGTTGCCAGAATTTTGGTTGACTGGCCAGGTCATGTTCTGTGTGTGTGTGGATATATTGACGGGGGTTGGACAAATAGAAGGATAAAAAATAGTGCATTGTTTATTTGCAGTTTATACATCAGAAACTGTACAAAGAATTGCATTTTTCAGCCATAGTTTTGAGAGATCTACAGACAGTGATGATAGCAAACACTGAAAGTATGGCAAAGTCTGGCTGTTGCTGATTGTGTCTTTGCTTGGCTGTTTTTGTGAGCAGCCTGAAGCTTTGGCTGACTTTGGCTGTGTTATATCACACACACACACATGCACATGTCTATATATATGTTAAAGTTAAGTAAAATATTACAAAGAAACTAAAAAATTACATTATTACAGTACTTAAAAAATAATATATACATTAGTTCCAGTACCCAGCATTGAAGAGCTATTTTAGCTGCTTTTACTGGGGAAACTGTTTCCTTCATCAATCAGTTGTTATTACTGGAAGATTAGCAAGCTTTCTTTACAGTAGCTATGCACATAGGCACCATTTGCTGTGATGGTGTCATGTTTGTCCATTCACTCACTGGCTCGTAGCCAGAGGCAATATCTGGGGCACAAGCTGTAGTGCAGCTTAGCTGTTGTGTCTGCATAGATATACCACACTAAACACCCAATTATGATATTAACACCTTTCCCATGGTGTTATCTTCAGTCACACTGCATACAGTTAATAAAATTATGTCTTGCTCATTATGTCTTGCCAATCAAAATCATAAAAAACATTATTGGGCCTAATTATAGCTTAGAAATATAGAAAGAAAAGGATATAAAACAGAAGATAGATGTTATATGAAAAAAGATGCTGGTTGTTCATATGAAACATTCTCTCCTCTCCCCTTTGTTATTGTCTGTTTGTAGGTAGGACCACCCTTTCAAAAGCAACAAAAAATACAGCGTTCTCATATCCCAGGCAACCAATAGCCAGGCTCCTTTGCTCTCACATGTTCTTACCATAGACCATCCCCCCGCCCATGTTGTTAATATTCAAAGGCTGCAGTATCCAGAAATGAGCTCATAGCAGGACTCATCACACACATCCTGGAAACCCCAAATAAGAAATGAAAAGATTTAGAAATGCATTTATGACATGGTCTTTCTGACTTTACACACTGACTGTGAGGTATATACGGAAATATGAATGATCGTCATTTAAGGAGATGTGGTGGCTTGTTGCTCATTACTCTTATCACCTCAGGAAACAAACTGGATCTCTGCTTCTCATTAATTTTATGCTGGTTGGTAATGCTTCCTTGAAAGTAGTTGCCTCTAAGGTCTTGTTATTCCATATCTGATTATTTTAATTTAAAATGAATATGTATCTCAATAGTATCCCAGTAATTGATCTGTTGGTCCGAACATGTCTGCATATACATTTTTCATTTAGTTCTACATTTGATGTCAAAATGTTTGCGATTTACCAGGCTGTCATTTTTAACATGATGGAATTACACAGTATGTTACAGTAAGTTTCTTTCATTAATTCAATATTCAATATTTTCTCAGTGTTCTGAGTATGATGCTGAAATGTTTTGTGTGAAATCTCAATGCATGCACCATTGCCGGTAATACAATGCCATCAATATACTACAAGTTACATTTGCGTAAGCAATGCTAACTAATCTGAATTTCCTCACAGCATGTGACACATTTTAAAGACATCCCACATATTTTATTAATGAGCAGCCTCCATAAAAAGATCAACATATAAGCCATCCTGTTTTAGTGTATACCAGGATACCAACATTTCCTAGTTACCACTGAACAAAAAGTACAGCGGAAGCCAGTGGAAAACACGGCCAACAGGGGGCGACGTCGAAAAAAGTTAGACAGTGTAGAAATAAACGACTGACATCAGCTAAACTAAATGTTCCAAAACATAGTATGCTGTAAAGTCGAGACACACATCCCCACGAGAACTAAATGATCTAAAGGCAATCTGTGATGTGCATTATCCAATATTTATTGTTATGAATGTCTATATATCAGGAATATGGCGTTCTGCTTTAATAGGCACAAAATACTTCAAAAAGAAGAAAAATTTATTAAACAAGGCTAAATGTGAGTGTGAATGCATGCTGTGTTTGAATCACTCTGTTCCAGGATTTGTTTGTGTAGGGTTTTGATATCTTCATATCATCATGACAACAAAAATCCAGTTTCTCAGCTAGCACAGGTCCTCACCCAGATAGGACAAAATCAATTCACCAATTTGAGATTGAAGAGAGCTGGATATTCTGATCTAAAATCCATGGTACCAGAGCCAGCCCAAGCTTTGATGGGGTTTTAAGCACAATTTCATTTGGGGTCCCTGCCCACGTTTAATCCCATCACTATCCACTGACCTCAGCACTGCCAATATTATCTGTATATTGCCATGGACGCTCATTTGTGCATTATATATCGAGCACAACCATTATCATGGCTTATGAGTGTAATGTAATTATTCCTAGAAAAATACCTTTATCCTGTGTTTTCTTTTCTTTTCAGACCAGAGCGATAAATCCTTTTTGAGACATATTTATCAAAATATTCCACTGTCTTGTGTATGATTACTGTATTACTATATAAATATACATTTATCAAATGTCTGGTGTGACATTTCAGGTGCTCTTGGGGGCTCCCGCCAGCTGCTTAGTCGGCTTATGCCTCAGGCTGGCTCTACATGACACAATAAGATTTAGCTCAACTTTCAAAATAAAAGCTTCACTTCACTACTTCAGTTGCAGGTTAGCACTGTATTCTCGCATTAAAAAGCAATGGCAACATAAGTCACAAAATATACTTAGCTGTTATTATAACCTACCAAAGAATACTAAGTGTGTGGGTTTATATGTACAGTGCACCTTTATGCTGAATGGTTTGTCAAAAGCTAAGTTAAACATTATTATTGTAGCTTTGTATTAGATTGATCTCTGCGTAATACTTTGTGATTCAGACAGTTAAACTCTGATTAAACAAAACGTGGTAATGTATTCAACTGCCCTTGTTTTCATATGTAAAGGAAATAAAATGAGGATCAAGATGGCAAAGATGCTGAAGTTTCGTAACCAGAGCGTCATGGCTGCAGACTTTGCACGGTGTGATATGCTGGACTCCCATTGTGTGTTTGTACTGTATGTACCCTGCATGGAGTCTCATCTTCCTTTCTCTCTTTATCGTTCAGCCATAGCCAGCTGGTACTAAGCAGAGGTATTCATCCATCCCTACTCCCTCCTTTTTTGTGCTGTCCCAGCTGCTCTCTCTACCTCTCTCTCTCTCTGCCCCCTCCTTTTGCACCCCTCCCTCCTCTTCCTCCCCCTCCTTCTCCTTCTCCTATCTAAACCTCCTTTCCTCTGTCATTTCCCTGCTGTTCATGTGTCCCGGCGAGGCGTTGCGGACCGTGTGTGTGTGCACTTAGAGGATGGCTCAGTGCTCAGGTGCAGGCAGCAGACTTTGGGAACCAGTCAAGCAGGCAACAGGACCAGACTTTACACCCAGACAGAGCTTTTTGCTGGGCTGAGGGCTGGAGATTGAGCCCCCTTTTTGGACCTCCATCCCTGAAGCTCTCTTAATCTACCTGTAACTAAGCTTTCTTTTATACAGTATTCATTAACAAGAGGACCATTTCAACTGGGTTTGGATCCTAAATGTTTAAAGGAAATTCTTCTTTTTGTATTTGTTATAATTGGCACTCATTTACACTGTGAGCTCTGAGTGGAAGCAGCTGTCTTGTCAGCCATGGATTTTGCAGAGGTGAAAGAGAGGAGTATGTCCTGTCTGTGCCATGCCCCAAACTGGACCTCAGTGGATAGCTGCTGAGGGAAATAAGGCACAAAAGAGAGAGCCAAATCTTTAAAACGAGGACAGGAAAGTCCTCAGACAATCTCCCTCTCACACACCTGTGAGGGCTTACTCTCTGACAAAAGAACAGCCGAGAAGAGGAGGAACAAAAAGATAATTAGGAGCCAAGAAGATAAGGCTAAAGGGGAGACTTTGGGTCCAGACTCCCTTCCTTCATTCATCCCTCCTTTTTCAGTTCCCACCTGTGTGGATTAATTGGGCTGGAGAACCATGGCGCATGCCGCTTCGCAGCTGAAGAAAAAGGCGGACGAGAACCTCGCTGCAGAGGAAGAGAAGGAGAAGGAGAGGAAGAAGTCAAGGAAACGGTCTCGCGAACCAAAGAAAAAGGTAGAGAAAGACAAGGAGGGAAGGATGAGTTTAGAGGGATAAAATTGGTCTTAGTAAGAGGGAAAGTAAAGGAGGAATGAGAGCTGACACACAGGAGGAAAGAGAAATGTTTGAGACGTGGTGGTCTAGTGAAGGCTAGGTGCTTCTCTTTTGTCACGATGCAGCCTCCCATCACACACATGCACACACATAATCATGCATGCACGTACGAGACACTCAGCGGGATAAGAGGGGTGGTCCCAGAGGGAATACTGTGGGGGGTGAGTGGGGAAAAAAGACAGAAAGATGGATGTGCAGAGAGCATGGGCAGAGAAGAAAGGAGAAGATAACAGGAATCAGCTACAGAGAACAGACTGGGATTTCAGGCAGCTGTGTCAGCTGCTGTTATGTTTTAAGTGACTTAAAGTCACTGGTTTGGTGGCTTTGTTGTAAAGAAAACAATATTTTGAAAATACATAAAAAAGGTACCACTCATAGGGACACACATACTTTAAATCTTCCTCTCTTTATGGAACTTTTTCAGAAGAAAACATAATGTCCCGTTTTATGCCATCACACCACACATTCAACCTCCTGTTCGACTGTGACGTGAGAGGTGTGGGACTTTGGGGGAGAAACGTGTACCCCAGCCAAAAGCGTCAGCAGTCACACTCTGCGGTTAGGTGTGGGCTGTCTGTCTGTGTGCGCCTGTACATAAGTCATTGTGCAAGGACGAAGTTAAGACGAAATCACTGACACACAAAAGCACCTAGAAGATGATCAATAGGTCTGACTTGAAATCAATAAATATTCCTCACTGCATTGACAGCTTCACTTTGTAAACTATCAGTCTTCTAGCTGAAGTTGGACATCAGCGTCAGGTCCAGTGTTTGAATCCCCTTGACAACTTGCGCGTATGTGCTTATTTGTCCAAATGCATCTTTGTTTGTGCTTAAAATGCTTCCCGTTTGCTCTTGCGTGCACATGCTGACATTTGGGCTTTTGTGTTTGTACACATTGACCAGCCCGAGGCTATAATTAGTTCAGGGTTAGCCACCTGTCACAGAGAGTCAGTACCCCTGACCTCATTAACATCAAGGTCAAAATGGACATCACTTCCTTGGCCTACAGGAAGTCAGCTAGATGTGAGTTAGCTGTGCTCTCGTGGTGATTTTATTAATTTATTCATTGGCAATTAAGCTTTTATGAGAAGACATGGTGTAGGAATTAAAAAATAATAACTTAAATATAAGAAGTCCATTCCTACATCTGCCACTAAATCATTTTCATAACAGATGTTTGCCCATTAGTGCTTAAAATTCTTTACATAATTCCAAAGAGTAGTCTCAGAGGAAAATCTTGCCTTAAAACAACCTAAGACATCAGATGCAGACTCTGCTGTTTTAGAGAATCTTTCAACTCGAAAAAATTGCGTAGACCAGACTAACTTTCATATGGCTATAGGAACCCTTCACTTCTCTTGTCCACTTTGAGCAAAATTGATTGGTTCATTGGAACAATTTTATGTGCAGTCTTATGTTGGGTTTTGTGAGTTGAACAAATAGGACTTAAAATCTGTCTTTCTTTCAGTTTAAGTGGAGAAAATCCTTGAAACTAAGCAACAGATCAGATTGTGAATGCCACCTTAAATCAACTGTATTCTTTTTTTGTTTTTATATCCACTCATCCTAATGGAAATGATAGGATGAGCGAATGCTGCAACTAATGGCTATTTTAATTATTTATATATTTTGCAGCTGGAGAAAATGGATTCACAAACTCCAGGAACTTAAAGTGATGTTGTTTTGTCACACAAACAATATAAATCAAATGTGTGTTTTATACAGTAACTTAACTAAAAAATTAAATGACAGTAGGCTTTCCAAAAATGTCAAAGTTGTCAAGTAATCAGTTAAGCAAATAATACTTTCAACTCAAAAGTGAAACATTCAAACAGTCTGAAATGACACTAGTGCCGTTTGGTCAGTTTTCATTATAGTTGGGCATGGGTGTCTCCTAAGTGTTGTACAATTTTCTTTCTTTCTGTGCAGTGTGTTGGCATCTGATAAGCCTTCAAACCCATTGATCTATTTCTCCAGCTGTTTTTCCTGGGTTATATATTTCTTGTGAAATTGTTCTTTTCTTGGAAACCTGACTAAACCTGTGAAACACTGATATTTTTTTTTATCAACCCAGACCATGGTCTTTTTCTTAACCCAAGTAGTTTGGTACCTAAACACATTTCTTCTCACCACTTCTTATCTCCCCCAAGAGGACTTTACTTTTTGTGTCCATGAACACTTATGAATAGATAGGTTTTTCTATGTATACAGAAAGAGAAAAGTAGTGTCCCTGAAGAAATATCAACAACATGAATGCCACAAGAATGTTGTATAGATGTATTTTTTCAAAGAAGTTTAAAACCATGGGAATGTATTTATTTTATTTGCCAGGTTGGAGTCATTCTTTTGAGAAGCAGTAATGATCATTGGCTACGTAGAAGGGCAAATGCAGCAGGTAATGATGTGCCATAAAAACACTGCATGATAATGGGGATTCATCAGGAAGCTGAAAGAGCTGAATTTGAGTCGGTTTGGTCACAGGTTTATGGTTTTACTATAAGGCAACAAGTAATGTTGATGTAGTATAATGTGTGTATTCTGACGTCAGCAGTTTCCCGGTGTTTGTGGCATAACCTTGTCATGGGGATATCAGCTATCACTGGCTCACTCAAGGTAAATCTATAACCCCGTCTGCCCAGGGCTAATTCTTGGCACCAGGGAGCAAAAAATATCTTCTCCCTCCTCGGCTCACATCGCCACAGTTATCTTTAACTCTCCTCACTTTACTTGATCTCTCTCTTTTCTCGTCATCTCTCTCATACTGTATGCCTGAAATGGCTCTTCAATGTTGATTAAATAACACACTTCCATTTTCGATCATAAAAGAACAGCTAATTATAAAGAGTATCAGTATCATTGTTGGCTGTATGTTAAATGGGTCACTGGAGTCACAGCATAATCTACCACTAAGAATATTTAGCTGCTTCCCATTTGCAGTATAATAGATGGATGTAATAATGGTGATGTCTTGATGTTTTAGATGTAGATGTGACACGTAAGGGTTGAGCTGTAGCTTGTGAGAAAATTCATGGGCTTAGTCAGAAGGAACAGAATGAACAGGGAAGTATTTTTTTAGGTCAGGGTCAAGGCTTCCTTAGACTTCTATAGAGCAAAAAATCTTTTTGCAACACCCTTTAGCCTACTTACTTTAATCCTGCACAAAATGCAGTTGGCTTTTGTGTTGGCTTCACTTTTCAATCATGGAAACCACGTCCATCTTTTATATCATCCGTGTTGCCACCAAACACTTGAATTATTTTTATGGCTCTACATAAACTTTCCAGCACTTAAACCAATTTGCTTATTGCCCTTTGCTTTCCACTCTTGACTGATCACACTGGTTGCACCCTGTAGCATACAGTATTTACCAGCCATTTAATGGCAATTAATTGTATCCTTCACTTCATTGATCATTTAAGTTGCTCACATTGAAGTTAACAAATGTTTAACCTGAGACCTGGTCACTTTACACCACCAGTGCTCCCAAGTGGCTGAATGTCATTGACTTTCATTAGTCTCTTCTTACCATGTTGCTACTAGTCACTTCCTGTGGACAAGCCTTAATACATATACACACACATATATACATACATATACACACACAATGTATATTCATATATATATATATATATATATATACATATATTATATATATATATATATATATATATATATATAAAAAACACCCAGCACGCCCCTGCGGGCGGTTTATCCTTCAAGCTCGGGTCCTCTACCAGAGGCCTGGGAGCTTGAGGGTCCTGCGCAGTATCTTAGCTGTTCCCAGGACTGCGCTCTTCTGGACAGAGATCTCCGATGTTATTCCCGGGATCTGCTGGAGCCACTCGCCTAGCTTGGGAGTCACCGCACCTAGTGCTCCGATTACCACGGGGACCACCGTTACCTTCACCCTCCACATCCTCTCGAGCTCTTCTCTGAGCCCTTGGTATTTCTCCAGCTTCTCGTGTTCCTTCTTCCTGATATTGCTGTCATTCGGAACCGCTACATCGATCACTACGGCCGTCTTCTTCTGTTTGTCTACCACCACTATGTCCGGTTGGTTAGCCACCACCATTTTGTCCGTCTGTATCTGGAAGTCCCACAGGATCTTAGCTCGGTCATTCTCCACCACCCTTGGGGGCATCTCCCATTTTGACCTCGGGACTTCCAGGTTATACTCGGCACAGATGTTCCTGTACACTATGCCGGCCACTTGGTTATGGCGTTCCATGTATGCCTTGCCTGCTAGCATCTTGCACCCTGCTGTTATGTGCTGGATTGTCTCTGGGGCATCTTTACACAGCCTGCACCTGGGGTCTTGCCTGGTGTGATAGACCCCAGCCTCTATGGATCTTGTGCTCAGAGCTTGTTCTTGTGCTGCCATGATTAGTGCCTCTGTGCTGTCTTTCAGTCCAGCTTTGTCCAGCCACTGGTAGGATTTCTGGATATCAGCCACCTCCTCTATCTGCCGGTGGTACATACCGTGCAGGGGCCTGTCCTTCCATGATGGTTCCTCGTCTCCCTCCTCTTTCTTGGGTTTCTGCTGCCTGAGGTATTCACTGAGCACTCGGTCAGTTGGGGCCATCTTCCCAATGTATTCTTGGATGTTCGTTGTCTCATCCTGGACTGTGGTGCTGACACTCACCAGTCCCCGGCCCCCTTCCTTCCGCTTAGCGTACAGCCTCAGGGTGCTGGACTTGGGGTGAAACCCTCCATGCATGGTAAGGAGCTTTCTTGTCTTTATGTCAGTGGCTTCTATCTCCTCCTTTGGCCAGCCTATTACCCCAGCAGGGTACCTGATCACGGGCAGGGCGTACGTGTTGATGGCCCGGATCTTGTTCTTACCATTCAGCTGACTCCTCAGGACTTGCCTGACCCTCTGCAGGTACTTGGTGGTTGCAG